AGCATTTGGCACGGAAAATTCAGACGAAAATTTTTAACAGTGTATAAGCGTCTACAAGAGATTACACTCATGACAAATGATTACTACTTGATTATCAACACTTGATTATAAGTATGGTAATCAAGTGGTTAAACCGATTTCATCGATTTCGCTCAGATTATAAGTGATTACACCAGCAAGTGACACCCCAATTACGTCTCAGAATAGCCTCTCGACTTCGTTTTATCATCATCTCCGTCCCCCAATATTCTCCAGACAATCATTACGTGCAATCACATAAATTTTCCTTGCCGACTATGATTAATTTATTCTTTTCACGAATTAATTCTTCAGCAAACATTCAGTTGACTCTCTTTATTTGCTATATTTCATTTAGACCAACCTTAATTATCCTATTATTAATACTTTATATCCCACAAGGGGAAAGATAAAAATTTATGAAGATGGGAGAGCAGAGGGGACTGAAGCAAATAACACGCGACTGAAATATGACCTCAATATCAATCTTTATAATTAACTTGGATCAAATCACAAAGTTGAGTCTATTTCTTCCAATAGGTGAGGGATCAATGTTAACAAGTGTGTAATTCTCTATCCCCAGTTTATTGACCGACTGAATGGATGCAAATGGCTATAGAAAATGAACGCACATTCACCTCACATTTGCGGGAGAATTATCGTCAATATGAACTGGTACATAATGAATGAACACTGAATACATGAACAGATTATATTTAATGTTGAATTTATTGGCAGGTGTCCAGGTGTGGCGTTGTGATACTTAACAATTGCGGGTAATTGAAATTATTTGATTGTGTCTGTAATTGAGGTATCTCCCTACTGATATTGCCTAAGTGGAATTTCCAATAACTCTATTTATACTAATTTGATTTAATATCACATTTATTGGTGGATTCTCGGATTCAGATGAATTGAAATTATAGATTTTCGCCTGATTGAGCGATTTGATTTGATTTATTCGACTCTTTTCGAGGGAGGATTTTTGTTTGGAATAGGATTTATTGGAGAGGAGTTATTGTCATCGGTCACCTCACTGTAAAAATACCAGAATCCCAGCTTTTTCGGTTTATTTTTTCGGTTTATTTTTTGAGCTTGGTATAACGGTAAGTGCGTTTTTTCTACGGTTGACCGAGCACATTCCACTCAAAATCGATAGCCAAGCTCATAGGCGTTCGCGTTTCGCATCGTTTCACAGGAGTTCAAGGTCTACATCCCTTCATTATCGGGATTTTATACCAGTAAACGGGAAATTGACGTGTGTTAACGCAACAATGATAACGCGTCACTTAATCTCACACATAATTCTCACCAGTCATGCTGTTACCCATTATCTCCACCACTAACCCTTGAACGAGAAGTTTACGCGCAATTGTGGTGAAACGCCATTTGACCAAATACACTCGAGGTTTTACTTTAGCGTTTGTTACGTAATCAAAGCAACATCAACTGAAGGTTCAATTAATTATGGTATTTTCACGCTAGTGACGGGTTAATTTACTGGCGCGGTCGAGCAGTGACATGGATCAACGCTAAATGCAGGGAATTACGATTGACCGAGGAAATATAGACCTCTTCTATTTTCTGTCATTCACTTTATTCAAAAGGGCAAAAGTACGCATAGAGGTTTAAGGGCTTTTCGGCATTTATTTAATAAAAAATTGCAATATTGTAAAATTTGTCCCAGTCATTGCTTTGATTGTTTTCATGTCTTTTTTAATTGCTCAATGTTGATGAAAACAAGAGGAATCTTGCTGGGTCATTCAATGGATGAAGAGAACAATACAATTTTTTTCCGTTTCGATAAATTCATAACTCTTCATGGTTCTTATTTTTTTAGTTTATATTACGATCGAGTGAATGATTTTATTGTGGTTTTAATGGAACTCATACATTCTTAAAAAATTTAGGCTGCAATACGCAACATACTTTTCCGAAATTTTTATCAGGCAACATTTCACTAGCATTGCAAGATATTTCGTCATTGAAAATCCACTTCCATGTAAAAATGAATGGAAACCGCGAATTTCAGTTCAATTACTCCATAAAACTAATATAAATAAAGAAAAGCTCAAGTAAATGTTTTCTTAAATTTACAATTCATTGAAAGTTCTACGTAAATGGGCGCCGAATATTCATGTTTTAATTAAAAATTCAAGTTTGAAGAATCCTCCGAATTTCGGAGAAATTTGAAATTTCATAATTCCCTCACCTGCTCCCTAAATTGAATTTACTATCGCCCTCCGGAAAATTGGGGGGGAGGCAATGTAAAATGGTGTAGCGGGATAAAATGGACAATGAACCAAAAATGGGCTGCGGGTAATACAGTAGTATAGCAGGCTCATATTAACCAAATTTACTGATAAGTCAATATTAAAGTTTGTATCTTAATCTTGAAGGATAACGACGTAAATTAGGTCGAAACCTGCACTGATAGAAAGGATTAGTTATTGTTAACGAATGGATTTGGTTGGAGACCAGAGTCTATTCGGTCTCATCAAATGTTCATTCGTTAATAGTTAACAAATGCACATTTGAGGAGCCTTGTTTGACTCGATTTTCACTTTTCAAGTGAACCATTCGTTAACTATTAACGAATATTCATTTGGTCATATTCAACTCTACCATTCGTTAATAGTTAACGAATCTCATTTGGGATAAATGAATCAGTCTATCAGTGTGGTCGCTATAAATGAAGTTAACCTCTTGAAGCCATCACACTTATTTAAATGAATGCTCATGTAGATGTACGGGGCTTCCCATTCTGCGCCTTTCCTTCTAAAAGCAATTTTTTTTTTATTTTCAACTTATGAGTTGTCCATATAAATTCAACATCTAGTGAAGCACTTTTTATTAAAGTATCAAGTCTCACCAGCACATAGCATTACCCAGAGTTCGGGACGGGGACGCAGCTGGTATATGAACCCCACAAAGGCCGCAATTATTGGCCCGGTCATCCCCTCCAAGTTATTTATGTGATTGAGTTCGACTCAATTTTCTTGTTGATTTCAGTTCTTATTGTAGTTAAGTGACGAAATAATTCAGTTTCCTCTGAAAATTCGCGTGAGTTCTTATACTGACACACACTGAGAGAAAAATGTGCTAATACGTAGAGTATATTACTTGAGAGAAGTAAATTATTTTCAATGGTTTAAATCTCAGAATGTTTGCGGTTCACGGAACTCGAGAATTCTCATTTATCACTATCGTTACGCACGATATCATGAATATCGTACATATCGAAATATTGGAACTGCATAACAAAAAAATTATGAAAACAATAAATACTTGAAGATTGATGATTCTTTTACGCCATTTGAGTGAGTTCATTGGCGGCAAAATCATACTTGAGTACAAGAATATTTCAAAACATGAGACCTTTCTCTGCGAATCAAACAATTGAAGAAAAATTACTTGTCTCAAGAACATATGTTTCAGATATTAGAAATATTTTTTCTCAGTGCATATAATACAGATCCGTAAATTTTCTATTACGTAAATAATACCAAATTGCTTATAAGGGATTTCCGATTATCCGAATAATCGTCAATCTTCCTAACTAAATTACTAATTAGAAAATATTTCGGAATTTGAATATTTAAATTGATGACTACTTCAATAATTAACATTTAAGCGTGATATCAACTAATTGACTACTTAATAATTTAACGGTAATTATAATTTATGGATATGGCCATCTCTGCTCTGGAATTCAGTGATTTTGTCACTGATTTTTGGTGACATCGCTAATTGGAGTGTCATCGTCATTAATTTTCAGGGACCCATTTCCAATTTTTCGAGTCACTTCACTGATATTTAGGAATCTACGTCCCATTTTTAGTTATCTATCACCAAATTTCAGTGATAAAAATTACTTATTAGTGTCATTCCAGTTATTGTCCAGCATTACCAACAATTGATGATAGATTTTTGAAAACCAGTGACATGTCCCTGAAACCAAAACTTCAAAACTTTTTTTTCTCTGTGACCATAACTCAATTCCTTCGCCATGTTCGACGAAAGATTAAAATGTCTCCGGAATAATCGCAAAACCATCCGAAGCCAGATATTGAAATAACACTCCTTTCACGTTCTAAAAGTGACCCTTAAGCTTGCTTCCATCATCAGGTTAAAAATCCTTGATATATTTCCATCGCTTATTTAATAGAAATCCTCACTAATTATCATTCGCGTCCCCCTAACCCTTCGTAATTTTCCAAGTCATGAAATTACTCTAGGCCTCCTAATCCAATTAATCCCCACCACCGTAAACAAGGCGTCAGTGGTTTCCGTGAATCTCCGAAGATCTGCGAGGCTCTAAATGAGCGACGTATCGTCTGGTTAGCCAGTTGCTCCGACACATCAGCCCGTCCCCAGTTTCCGTAGAACGGGGTCACGGGAACAGATCGATGTCCTGGATGTCAAGCAGAGTGTACCAGTGGTACGCGCCAAAGCTCCAATGGTACGCTCTATTCAGGGTGTGAGAGAGGTTGAACGGTGGATGAATCTCGGATGACCCCTGCAGGCCACCTAGAAGAGCGATCGACCCCGGTTAGAGTGTAGAATGAGTTGGTGGAATGCGCATGGGCCGTGGCCACCTTTAGCTTTAACCCACAAACCCGCTACAAGGTGGTGACGAGAGGGGGAGGGGGGGAGGCATACAGGGTAAATTTCTTACGGATGGTTAAGACCGATAAGAAGCAAACTTGATAGTATGCCGTTAGAGAGTTTATGAGCTTTACCCTCTGTTGATAGTCCTTCGTGCGATAGTGATAGACGTTTGACACGGGATACTGAAGTTTGACTTCTGGACGATGTTGTTCCACCTCAACTTTCATGATTACACTTAGGCTACATAATGAAGTACATGCTGACGTTGTAAAGTTATATTTCATGCTCAGCAGCTTCCTTTTAACTCTTATTTGATGAGGATCGTTTGTCTGGAGGCTAAAGTCACCCCTGGGGATTCTTTGTGGTTGCAGGTTACGATGGAGGATAACTCGTTTGTCGTTGAGGTACAGCCCAAGTATATAAGGGACGAGGTTGAGCTACATACTGGATCCACTGATGATGTTACTAGTGGGGTCACTGATCAACAGGCGCTCGTTCATCGCGAAGAAATCCCGGAGGATCGTTCGTCTGGTAAATACATGGTTTATTCTACTCGGGGCCATAGTAAAACCAGGAATCTTGGTTAATTTAACTGACAATCTCGAAAAATAACGGAAATACTACTGCCGAAACAGTTGTCATTTGATAAGAGATAAATTTTCCACACTTCCTAATCAAACAAGGGTAATGTTGCAAATATCCATTGAGAGAAATATTTATTTTTTTAATACCGGATTTCTCCAACCGAGTCATTTCCAGGCAATCCTCATTAGGTTTCAATTATATCAATTATATTGCTGAAGAAGACGATCATGTTAGTTACGACCTTGAGTGAACTCCTTCAATAATTACCAACATTAAAAAATTAATTGGAATTCTTCTCAAATCGAAAAATCGTAACGTAATTATTCTCTACAGCAACATGATTGTTATAATTTAAACCTAATCTGACTCGCCTGGGAATGACTCGATTAACGAAATACGATTTAAAAAAAATGAATGCTTCTCTCAAGTAAATGAATATTTGTCAAAAATATTTTTTTTCACAGTGTATCTTGAGTTCGCGACATCTCGGACGGCACTGCGAACCATTATTTGCGATCAGATCACTGTTCATTGATTGAATTTTCTTGCATTGCAGAATTCGGGACCAAATTATTTGGCAGCACAAATACCGGGCTTTCGCAATCCGACCTATCAATCTCCAGTCAGGGCTCCCTGAACCGTGGATACAGATATGGAAACCAAGTTGAGTATGAATCCGGACAGTTTGGTCACACACTCTACGGGAATAACTACCAGACAGACGTTCCACCGCATAAGCCTGACGGCTGCAAGTGGGTGGAGTTCGATAAATCACCTGACACCGAGAAAACTTTGCTCAACGATACCAAAACCTCCAGCTTCGACAAAGAACCAGACTACGTAAGCGATCCCAGCGAACTTTAATGACAATAAATGGAGAATAAAAAACTTTAGCCTGTTTTTAATAGATATTTTTCCAGGATAAACGCAACAACATTGACACTTCATTAGACTCAGGCTCATCCTTGGAACATCAGGATTCAACAGACGCCAGCAACTCAACTGACACAGTAAGGTCGAATCCAAATCTCCAAGTGAATGGTGCAACCCCAAACAAGTTGGAAGGTATGGAGCGGAAGGGTCTGATTAACGATTACAAGTTGGATTCTAGCAAGCCAGTGATAACAGGGGCACTTCTGAAGGACGAGGGAATAGACGAGAACTGCCATGACAACAAGAGAAAACTGGGTAATGGTACATTGTCACCGGAGCACAGAAACTCAAAGTCACGTGAGCAAAAGCCTGAGGGCAGTGTCTTTGTTCCATGCCACAAGAGAACAAGTAGTATCCCACCTCGGCTCATCGAGGATGGTCTTGAAATTGATCGCAAGAAGGGTATCGACATTTACAGTCAAATTAAAACCAGCATTTTGCCTGGTTTAAGCCCAAAGTTTGAGATTCTACAGAATGATGTGAGTCCAATTGACGAGAAGGAGAGTTAATAGAGTACAAAGATGAGTATTAGAGGGTAAAGAATGAGGGATCTCATTCGGATGTCAATGAGATGGAGAAACGTCGGGGTTTACAAATTGGCAAAATCTTGAAAAAGCACTCGGCTTGAGGTAGACGTTGTTACCCCGACAATATACCACTGATGACCATGAGCGTCTGGTTTTCTTGTCACCGGTTTTTGGGCCCTTCAAACTACTGAATCCCAACCAGTGACATTTCGCGGTGAGAATTAAATGGGAAGAGGGGAGACACATATGTGCAGGAACAATTGGAGACTAACGAACTCGAGGCTACGTGGCTATAGCATTAATTCTCCTGCATCCACGCATTTTGACTGAATAAATCGATGAGGACGATGAGAACTGAAATTCATCAAACACAATTCACCATAAGAAAATGTACAATTTTTTTCCACTGTGGAATCATTTCTCCATTTACACGAGATTGAAGATAAAAAAAAAATAACTGAGCACGATCGTGTCGATTCAGAGAGGAAAGGAATTTGTATCGTGCCTATTTCCGTTTGCAGGTGAAGTTGAAGAAGGGGAGGAACTTTTCAATTTCCCTGCTGAGTGTCTGCACAGACACTGGAGGTCGATATTTGCACAGGAGAAGTGCTCATTTCAACTTTTATGCTTCTCTTTTGTGAGTGCATTGGAACTTGGTGTGATTATTCTGGAGAATTTTCTCTTCTGAATGGAGAGGTTGGAGATGATGAAGAGACTTGGAACTCTTGTGGTTGATATTGGCAACGAAATTGTGGGTATTTTGAGTAGAGTGTCTCAGCGAAGAAGAAATTATAAGTGAAGTGATCAATTAATGAGAAGGACTGGACCAATGAGGCTTCAAGATTATTAGTTACCTCAGCCAGATTCTTCTTTGATACTTAATAAGTACTCGACTGTGAAGGGTCTTTTTCATTCTTTGGTTTGAGAGGTTTTACTACTTCGTATTTCTAGGATAGAATCATCTGAATACAGAGTTTTTAATATGGAGCTTATGGGTCACGGTTTACAGTACCAGTTCCGCGGACATTTTGTGGAATGACGTAATGATAGATAAATTGAATGTTTGCTGCTCGATTTTAATATTTATATCTCTGTTCTCGAGTTATAACTGTGTTATGGAAAATTCAAATTTTATACGCTTACGTTGTATGTTAACTAATGATTGTCGTTGTTAATAATCAAATTGTGTGTGTGATAATATCAATGTTTGGCCCCATTGAAATATCATAGGAGAATTTATCCCTTTGGCTTCACGGAGTCTTTTGAGTTTCATTTTTGTGAATGATGATGAAAAATCGAATCCCTAGAAGTGAATAGAAAATCCCCAACAACTACCGAAATCATAATTTTTGTTGCCAGCTGAAAATTTTTACAGTTGAGATTCAATGTGACACTGTAAATTTTTTAGGGGATTACCTGCACTCGTTTTGGATGTAAGAGCTAGGAGACAATTGGCATCACTTGAATGGTAAATTATTGTAATCATTAGGAGTAATTAGAGCTGAAGTATAATGCATTTAAAATAGATTTTATATAAAAAAACAACAAATCATTGAATGTCTCATGTTAAGTCTCACAACTATTGTAATCTTTAATCGACTGTTTATGCCAGTAAAGAATCAAAATCGTCAAAAATTAAAGAGATTTTTATTGAAATAATTAATTGCTGATTTATTTTAATTACCAGCGGCTGTATTTATCCATTCATCCGTGAGTTAATTAATAGAGTAAAAGATTTTATCGAGAGGATTATCAATTTTTCTCTCTTTTGTGTTGATAAATTCATTGTAATTAATCATTCTACAGTTGAGCAGTAAGACTTGATAAGTCAAATGTAACATGTTCGTTAATTGCGCATTTATCGTGACAATGAGTCATTCTCGAAGTAAAATCATTCACTCATCACCGAACTAATGTCAGTAAACTAGATGTAAAAATAAACTCGTTGATTTTCATCACTTCACTGCAGAATAGGGAACTTGCATATTTGAAAAAAAAAAAAATTCCTCAAATATATGCCTCCAAGAACTCATATTTGATAAGGAAACACACGGAAAATAGTTTAACAATTATTTATTTCCTTTTAAAAATGGCATTTTTTTAACGTTCTAAAAAAACCTGTGACGTCAACGCACCGGAGGCCGAAATTTTCGCCTGTGGCGCCGTCAAGCGGTTTAGTACAACTGCTGAAATCTAGGAAAACACTCTATACATGTATTTGACTCCAAAATGTCAGGAAAAGCGGATCGAGTGATGAAAGATCCTTATAAATATTGTTTTGTACCAGGATGTAAAAATACAACAGTGAAAATTACACAACCACGACTTTCGACATTTTGACATAGATTTAAACCCACAAAATCTATCAACATAGTCACGTCTATCGTTGATAAATTCCCCGAACTGGCCTTTTGAAAATCATTTTTCAGCACCAACTTCATTTGTTACTGCCAATAAATTTTTTTATCCACTTTTGATAATTGTTTCAAGTATAACCCCCTCGATTTGTTTTGGTTGACCCTCTCGCACTTCGAGAGGCTAGAATAACTCAATAGCGCTGTTAGTAGTCGCAAGGAGAACTTGATTCCGGTGAGTTGACGTCATGACCCCAAAAAAATGTTCAAAATTGATGCATTTTTAATCAGTTATTACAAATTATACAGACCACTTTTCGGAAAACTTTTTACTCTGGAATGGTTCATGTACTACAAATATTCTAATTTTTAACGTTATTTATTGCAAGAAACATACATTCTTACAAATGGCCATTGCCCGAGGGCCTTCAGCCTGGAATACACTTCTTTTGTACAGTATCAAATTATCTCTATCAGGAATTGTGTACATGTGGTTCAATGTTGATGATAGTTAGACGTGAGGAAAAGAGAGAAAGCAAATACTCTATTTATTTGAAAATATTTAAAAACTGCACTCCATGCAAGTTCCCTATTCTTTATCACTACATTATCAATCTCTCATCTTTTTCCACTTGAGAAAATCCTCAATGAAGTAACACAAAGAAATGAATTTCGACCAGCAAAATCGTTTTAAGACAGTAGAATAGCCAAAGTCGTGACCTTAGACCTGGAAATAACTTTTCATACGTGATAACAGAATCGAATCCAAGTAACTTCGTATTTGTGGACATCCCCAGGTAGTCACCACACTCAAGTTGAGCAGAATAGGGTCACTGCACCCAGAGAAAATTGATTTCAATAAAATCAATGAATGTATACATCAACGAATCCAATAAATTCAATTCAAACTGCTGTATATATTATCCAACTTATTAAATATTTAAATTGGCAAAATCAGTGTTTCAAATTTTTATTGTGCTTTCTCGTGAAAGAAGAAACTCATTATTTTGATTGCAGTCGAGATTTACAGGTAGTAAATACCTTTAGAAGCCTTGTTGATGAAAAATTCACTGAAAAATGACAAAACGAGGAAACATTTTAAGGAAAATTGCGCTGAATATCCAAAATTAGTGACAAATCGTTTGCACGTGCTCATGAAAAATGCTTCGTACACATGGGCATTAGTAATTGGATCATGGATGTCCATAAATAACACAATTAATTGAACAAAAAGGAAGGGATGAAATTAAAATTCTGTAACCGAGCCGTAATTTATCCACGTTATTCAATAAATCTATCGATACAACGTAACTCTAACATTTAGATTTAACCAATTCCATAGACTGGAACGATTTATAATTTACCATGTAAGTTAATTAATGAAGAAAGAATAAATAAATTTAATGAAAAAAGTAGATGAACCCGGTATGATCTATCCCTCGATCGCTGCACGCGATCAGTTCAGTATTTAATATTAGGTGGGACCTCTTCATTCAATGCAACATATAACGACAGTCAATTGAATGGGCACCATCCATCGGTGGAAGAGCGCCATGACCTAGGCTCTAACGAACTATCAACCAACGCTGAGGAAAATTTACTGCTATAATTGCTCGTACAGTTTTTGGAAATTTCATGAGGAAATAAATTGAAATTGAAGTGTACTTTAAGTATTCCATGAATATTAATATCATGAAATTAGGAAAATTCGGATGAATTTTTTGAATTCTTGAATTTTAACACTGCGTTTTTCGCGCAATAGTTACGAACAGCGCCGGTCGCGCCGTGTCGCACCAGCATAAATCGACATACTGATAAATTTGTCGTCACTAGGCCCGATAAACCGCGATTTCAACCTGGCTTCGCTCGGTTAAATTGCGGTTTTCGGGCCCAATGACAAAAATTGTTCCGTTTTTTCATAAAAAAAGGTTGCAATCTCGCTAGCTTGTGCAAAAATCGAGATATCAACTGGAAATTTGGCCGGAATTTTCCTCTCAAGATAACAACGATTCGTACTGAAATGTCAGTGGTAATTAAATTCGATAAAAATTTCCAAAAAGTGTACCGAAAATTTAAGACAAAACTTTTTAACAGTGTATGATAATTTTCCAGTGATTAGAAGTAATAGAAATCGAGTTGTATTGTGCGTATGCTACGCTTGGTGACAAAAGGACCCCGTACGTAAGAGGTTAATAATTAACGAACCTCGTTAACAACAAATGAATCGGTCTATCAGTGTAAGTACTAGACTAAACGCTGTTTAGCTTGGACGACTGCCGCCCTTAATCAATCGGAGTTTGTAAAACAAGCTAGACGATCATTGATTTCGATTTAAATAGAAAATGTGATTAGATTCACTTGAGTATTTCGCAAGGAGGTATTGATTGGAAAAAGTTGAATAAATTGACCGTTTAGTGCGTTTGGACTGGTCGCTAGGCAATCAGTGGAGTTGTTTGGTTTGAGAGTGTGGCTGTAACACGTCCTTAAGGTTATTTTCAGATATAAGGGCACTTGCATGGGTATTTTCACCTTCTGAGGTGAACCCAGGAAATACTCAAATGATACAATTTGGATAGCACAGTGGAATTGACTGTAACAGACTTTTGGAATTCGTTATAATTAATGACTTAAGGTGATATTTTTGAATTCCTAATGAGTGGTTCATGAATTGAATTTAATATTCTGCTGCCAGGAAATACTCCATCAATATAAATGGGCCCCACAACAAGGGATGATAGAATACTAATGAGACTCCTCATTTGAAAATTCTCCCTAATTTTGTACTGAGTATCCTAGCTTCAAATTAACAGATTTATCAATGAAGAAATACACTGTTAGAAATTTTTTTAGAATTCCATGGAAGATATTATAGTAAATCTCATTCGAGTGACATTGAATCAGATTTGAGGAAATAATGATTATGGAATTTTAAGTTTTAAGTAGAATTCACGGAAATTCGTGAAGTTTCAGTGGGATTCAGAAAGAAATTTCACAACTTGATTGAATTTTCAGTGGAACATGAATTTTCAATTTTTCCCTGAATTTTTCTGAGTTTTCTAAATTTTCACAGAATAATTGAACTGAAAAATCAAGTATTTTATTGATTTCCAGATCATTTGAACAGTAAATCAATGGAATATTTGATTTTTCAATGACAAGATTTCCTGAAATTTCAGTGGAACTTGAACACAATAAAAATTTCCGGTATTTGGCACGGAAAATTCAGAAGAAAAGTTTTAACAGTATATATAGAAATTTCGTAACTTTACCGTTATTAAAAATTTCAAACTTTTTCACTAGAAATTTCGAGACTAACCTTCTAACGGTGTAATTAAAGTCCTAATGAAAAAAAAATTTTAAATAAAACGCAAACTACGTGAATTTATGGGAAAGACATAATTTCTAGTCTTGAGAACGCTTGAAAATTCTCTCTGAACAACGAATCTCATCCGATTGAAAAAATTTTTTCTCAGTCTCAGGACGAATCAGATCAGGAGATTTTACGATTCTCAAAATTGACAAGAAAATATTTTTCTTGTATCAAATAAACTTTCTGTGTCCAAAGCAGCGTTCTCTCTCAGTGTATGAAATCATAAATTTCATGATTCTCCTCAATGAATACTAAAAAAATTCAGTCCATAAAAATTCAATTGTTTTCTATCAGTTTAGTCTACTAAGTACTACCGATTGCCAGTTTATGTCATCCTCCTCAGGTGTTGGGCGACGAGGGCTATCGCGCTAATTTCATTACAGCCGGTTAACCGATGGTGGGGGGAGGGGGGAGCGGTTGCCGGAAAAGCTCAGTCGTATATAGGCGGCTAATTGTGCAGAGCCCATTAAAAAACGGTTTTATTTTTGCAGCCATGCTTTTCATTTAGTCCTCTTTTCATGAATTGAATGAGCCCAAATGCTGCTAAATATTTGAATGTACCGAAGCCACGCTCAATTTGTGATACCAACAGTACCTTCTGTAATAGTGGTCATGTTAATGTTATTGATGAACTGCACTCGTCAATCATTTTACTTATTCGAATGATTGGGAGAAAAAAGATCTCGAAAGTCGGGGTTTCATGTGACAGGAATCAACAAATTTGTTGAATGGGGTCTCGTAAGGATAACACAAGAATGAAAGAATGGCGAATCGGGGAGAGTGAGCGAACCCAACTCCTTTTTATATTCATCAATAACTTACGCATGGAAGAATTTAATATAAGATCCTGGTGCTTCGCTAGGAAATTTTATTACACGACTTTATTGCTTTTCGATGATTGATGCTGGGTATGTCGTGATTTTTGGTGCGTTTCGTTTACATGAAGCCATTTGATGGGACTATATTCACGGAGATATTGTTCACGAGTTGATTGATCCTGACTATTTTCTATGGAACTTTGCATGAATCGCATTTACAGATATCCAAGTCATTTTTTTTTATGTCAACGTCACGATATATGTATTTGAGATTTTCTTATCTTTAATCAAGATACTTCCTCACTGTTTATAGGTGAGAAGAAGTCTCCAATATGCTGAAGACATGACATATAAACCATATGTTGTTCGGTACATCGAAAAACCGAACTGAAATATTGAAGATTTTGATTACATGTTTTGAATAAGCATCGTCAAACATTACTAAAACACTACAATTCAATGATTGACAACTAATATTGCAAAAGTGGCGTACACTGTTAAAATTTTTCGTCTGGACTTGCCGTGCCAAATTTCGGAAATTTCTATTGTGTTCAAGTTATTAAAAAAAAAATTGGAATCCGTCGCATGGTTAAGAAGATATCGACAAAAAACTATTTTTGAGGAATCGCTATATCTCAGGAACCACGTGCATACACATACATACATTTTTTTATAATATTTTATAATATTGCAAAAATGGCATACACGGTTAAAAATTGTCGTCTGAACTTGCCGTGCCAAAGTTCGGAAATTTTTATCGTGTTCATGTTCCTCTGAATCCTGTCATGGAATGACAAGATTTCCTGAAATTTCCATGTTCATTGAGACCGAGATCATCTCTGCAATGTTTTGTCTCGTGATGTCTCATGAAATATCTTGCGGCATCACTACTCCCGCTATTGTCACACGCATGGGGCTGTAGGGGAAACCGATTCGGCAAATGCGACTATATGTTTTTCATAGATTTACTGTCAGAGTATTTTACATTTACGATCTCCTGGGATGTCGAGATAATAACGCATCTGAGAAAACATCGATGTGTTTACATTCGGCAGTCGAGAGTGGGAGTGGGGGAAGTCGTCACGCTGGCGAAAAAGCGATCAAGGGGGAATGCGACTATAACGGGAGCGACTATAACGAGAATTTATTCTATCTGAATCCAATGTGCCGGAGTGAATCCCGTATTGGATCTGGTACTCAGAGAAGATCAGAAAAACCGGATCCTATCACTTTGATCAGGGGTTTCGTCTATTTAGCACCCTATGTTATGGTATCTCTTCCAAACTTAATGGGATCGTTTGATGGGCGATTGATGGTGTTTGATGGTATGGTGGTATCAAGCAATCAAATTTTATGTATAATATTTATGCATTAAATTTTACGTTGATGCCTTTATGGGAGTCAACACCGGCTACACTATTAGAAAATTACTCCTGAAATTTCAGATAAAAATCTTGAAATTTTTAACAATCACTCATTCACCAGATATTTTCATGTATTTTGTTATTGAAAAATCAAGCCCCTCAACCTGCACTTGTTCCCCTCCAGGAACAAGTGCCTTCTGAAATTTAACAAATCTCACGATATTTTTAACGCCCTTTTCCCCGCAAAAAATTTCTTTCAAAATTATTTCATTAGTTCAAAATCAAAGTATTGCTTTTTTTCTCATTTCAAGGGGAGACTACTATGAGTTTTAAAAGTCGTGGGTTATTGGAGTGAGACATTTCATACGTTGAAGATCGATTATATAGATCGGAAAACGAATAATTAGTGGAAAAAAAATTTTTTTGTATTGTTCGTTTGCCCAAAAACGCTTTAAATGCCAAAAACAGTCAGGGCCTTCAATTTTTGAGCTACGGAGGATTTTTTTTTTCAAAATTTTCGAAAAAATATGTGGAATAACAATTACGAGCTAGTTTTTTTAATTCGCCTCTTACATGGCTAAATTTGCCTTTTTTTGTATTTTTTTACACAAATAGTGAATTTTTTTGTATGAAAAAAAACGAAATCAGCTGTGTAGGAGTCCACTTCCAAAAAACTGGCTCGTAATTTTTGTTCCACACATTTTTCCGAAAATTTTGAAAGAAAAATCTTTTGTAGTTAAAAAATTGGAGGCCCTGGACTGTTCTCAGCATTTTAAGCGTTTTTGGGCAAACGAACAATAAAAAAAAAATTTTTTGCACAAATT